AGAAATTAAATGCCTTTCGACAGCAAAATCGAACCATTGAGGAACTCAATGCTTTATTCAATTCGCTCTGTTTTTCGGTCAATCTTACAGAAGAATCTCGATGTGATTTCTATGAACGAGCTCTTAATCCTAAGATTCTGAAGATAGCGGTCATGCGAGGTGATTGGAAATCAACCACGACTTTAAAAGGCAAGCAAGCTCTCGCGGTTTTGGCAGCCGAAGCTCAAGATAAGATTGCGTCGATCGATTCAGGATCGCTTCCTTCGTTCCAAAAGCGTCAGCATTCCCAACCTCCACCTCGAGCTGTTTCCGCTCCCCCCGTTCGAGTACCGGATGGTGTCGTTCCGATGGATCTGGACATCATGTCCGCTGAAAATTGTATTAATTTCCCCAGATTCCGAGCAATTTGTCGAAAGAAACACATCTGTCAGCGCTGCCATGGTCGCTTCGATAAACAACATGCAATCAATAAAGGATGTACTTCAACGAAGGCGCACCCAGAGGTCGACGACAAGATCGAGTTGTATAAGAGATGGATTGCTGAAGGGGGAAAGGATGTGGAGAATGCTTTGGCCGAGGTGGCGGTGGAAGATAGGACTAAGTCCTTGGGCGATCTTAACCTGGATGATATTCAGCCTCTTAGTCTGGGTGACTTATGTTGGGATGAGGCGGCTTCTCATATGGAGGTAGATAAGGAGCCTTGTAAGTCTTTGTATTTAAATTTCTTTGTTATTCCATTCCCTTCTCCCCGACCCATTTTAGCTGCCAGAGTATTTCAGGAAAAGAGGTCCGCAAGGGCTTCGATTCTGTTTGATTCGGGAGCCTCGGCTTCCTTTGTTAACTTGGATTTCATTCGCAGGAACTCCTTTTTGGTAATCGGGCTGAAAAATTCTCTTCTCTGTTGAGGATTCGATGGAGTGCCTGCTCGATCGGGCGAAATAAAAGAATGTTGGATCGGTCGGATCCAACTACCTTTCTCTGATCAATCCCTCTCTTTTCAAGTTAAACTCTTTGTTACCAATCTAGCTTCTGCCGATATCATACTGGGGGCCCCATGGTTATCAAGAAACCACATGTTTTTAGGGGGTTCTCCAATGAGTCTATTTTTCCCCAAGCCTGTAGCGTCTATCTCATCTATTGATACTGATCAATTTCCAGTTGAATTAAAAGAGTTTGAATCCGTGTTTATTTCTGAAGCCTTGAGTTCATTACCACCTCATCGGGAAGGCTATGATTGTCAAATAAATCTAAAGCCCAAAAGCACTCCCCCCTTTACAGGTATGTACAATTTGAGTGAACAATAAAATAAGCAGCTAAGAGAGTATGTCAACGAGAATTTAAAAAAGGGCTTTATCCGAGAATCTTCATCTCCAGCGGGGGCACCTATTTTTTTTGTCAAAGTACCTGGGAAGGCTGATAGACCATGCATAGACTACCGTTTATTAAATTCAATGACTATTCGAGATTCTTACCCTCTTCCTTTAGTCTCACGCCTACTAAATAACCTAGCAGGTTGCAAATTTCTTTCAAAAATAGATCTTTAGTCGGCATTCAATCTACTCCGAATCGAGCAGGGCCACGAATGGAAAACCGCTTTCCGAACGCCATGGGGATTGTTTGAATACTTGGTCATGCCTTTCGGTTTGGCAAATGCGCCAGCCACATTTCAGAGATTCATTCAACATGTACTTCGTGAGTACTTAGACGTTTGTTGTTTTGTTTACATCGATGACATTCTTATTTATTCTAAGACAAGAGAACAGCATGTTGAAGATCTTAAGAAGGTTTTAAATAAGCTGAAAGAATATTCCCTAAAGGCATCATTGGCAAAGTGCGAGTTTTTTAGGTCTGAGGTTCGATTTTTAGGATTTAATATTTCGCGTGAAGGAATCAAGATGGATCCGAAGAAACTCTCGACGATCTTAGATTGGCCTTATCCAGAGTCGCTTAAGGAGCTTCAGCGATTTCTGGGATTTTCAAATTTATACAGAAGATTTATCCCAAAGTTTTCAGATCTCGCTGCACCGTTAACGGATTTAACTAAGAAGGGTGCTTGGAATTCAGATAATCTAGGTAAGAAGGATCTAAAAATATCTTTTTCTGCTTTGAAAGGGTGTTTTGCAAGAACCCCCCTTCTTCGACACTTTGACTTTAAACTCCCAAGAATAGTACATGTAGATAGCTCGGGGTATGCAATAGCGGCAGTCTTGAGTCAACCAGATTCGGATGGCAAATTACACCCCGTAAGCTTTTATTCCAGGAAGCTTTCTGATCGGGAGCGGGGATGGCCTATCTTCGACTTAGAGCTATTGGCAGTGGTTACGGCTTTCGAGGAATGGCGAGCCTGGTTGATGGGCACTGAAGAACCGGTGAAGGTTTTTTCTGATCATTCAAACTTGAGATACTTCAGATCTGCTAAGCAACTTTCTCCCAAGCAAGCGAGATGGGGCGGCCTTTTCTAGATGAGTTCAATTTTGAGATACGTCATATTTTCGGGGGAAACACAACCCAGCAGATGGACCCAGTCGGCGACCGGATTATACTTTGGGTCAGTTAGGGAATTCGCCAACCGCAACAATTACCAAGCGGCTAGTATCTGAATCAATCAATGATATAGTCCCATTGGACGCTGAAAAGGGTACTGCTAAGCATGATTTATTTTTTCAAAGGCCGTCTGAAGAACTAATTGATTATCTGAAACGATCCTATGCTAACCTGAACGAAGAAGAAAAGGAAGATTTAATTCTGTTTCAGAATATCTATTGGTATCAAGACAGAATTTTTGTTCCACAGGCGATGTGAACTCGGATAATCCAATTATCCCATGATACTCCTTCGGCGGGCCATCCAGGAATTGCCAGAACATTGGCATTAATAACCCGTTCATTTTCTTGGCCGGGATTGCGGAAGGAAGTAATCCATTTCGTAAAGTCGTGTGATTCCTGTCAGAGGGTTAAAGCTCGTCGTCAACAGCCCGAAGGACAGTTGAATTCTCTAAGGATTCCAGATAGACCTTGGAGCAAGATCGGAATTGATTTTATTGTTAAATTACCAGATTCGGGAGGTTTCGATTCCATCATGGTGGTCATCGATTTATTAAGTAAGATGACTCATTTTGTTCCATGTAAGGAAACTTATTCGGCAGCGCAAGTGGCAAATCTGTTTAGGACCAATATAGTACGACTGCATGGACTTCCTCAAAGGATTATTTCGGACAGGGGTCCAATTTTTGTAAGCAAATTCTGGAATAGTTTGATGAACTCTTTGCAAATTAAGTCAGGATATTCTAGCGCTTATCATCCACAGACAGACGGCCAAACTGAACGGATGAATCAGGTCCTTGAGGACTATCTCAGACATTTTTGTTCCTTTTATCAGGATAATTGGGACAAGATTTTAGATATGGCGGAGTTCGCAATTAACAATTCTGATTCGGCTTCGCTGGGAGTTTCTCCTTTCTTCTTTACCTATGGTTATCATCCAAAATTTAGTGTGCTAACAGATAGCTCGGGTATTAAGCCTGTAGACGAATTCACTGAGGATTTACAGTTTATTCAGGAATGGGCGGTTGAATGCTTAACTCAGGCTCAACAAAGACAGGCTCGATACTACGATCTGCGAAGAAGGGAGTCCTCACAATACAAAGAAGGGGATCAGGTTTTACTGTTAAGAAAATTTATTTCAACAAGACGAATGAACTCAAAATTGGATTATAGATTTTTAGGACCTTTCAGAGTTATCGAGATGGTGGGGAAAAATGCGGTTCGGCTAGACATCGCAAAGGATTACCCAAAGATTCATCCAGTCTTTAATATCTCGCTAGTGGTTAGGTACAAAAATCCTAGGGAAGTTGAGGGTCGCGGGACGGTTCAGGGTATTAGGGAACTATATTACAAGGAAGGTAGGGTGGTGGACTGGTCTAAATTAGCCATGATCCTCGACGCACGGCAGGTAGGTAAAGGTAAGTACGAGTATTTGTTACGTTGGCGCAGCTCTACTCCTGGGGAAGACACTTGGGTAGCTGACAAACATATTCCAAGTTATCTACAAGGCTACCTGGAGGCGTTCAGGAATAACTTAGTGGCGTTATATAAATCAAAAAATAAAGGCTATAATAGGCAGGGCATATTTGTGACGACCAGGCACAGCCCACAGCTAAACTCAAAAAGTTTTTATGAAAATGAATTTAGTTAGAAAATTATACTTCGAAATCTAATCAAGAAGATTAGTAAAATAGCAAGAAAGTTAGATTCAAAGTAAGAAAAAACAAAACTGATGTTCTATTTTCACTTCAAAGAAGAGATTTTCAGAGATTTAAGAATAAATAAGAAAGATAATCTGTAAGTAGTATGTATTAAAAACCAAAAGCACTTGTAGTTAGAAAATCGGTTACTCTTGGTGTTAAGTATTTAAGAAGTTGTATTCGGCATGAGGGTTTCTTTCCTCATGGCAAAATTTTTGTGTCATTTACTTCCATCACTATTTCGTCGTAAAAAGCAATAAAGACTTATTTTTTCAAAGAAAAGCGAAGATACTTAAGAGTTAAGCTTGCCGGATCCTTTGCTTGTCTGCGGATCACTTGTTATCATTTAGCTTGTCTAGGGCAGCTGTGCTCTTATTCGTTACACACTCACTCACTCACTGATGATGTCATTCATGACCCCCATCGAAAGAAGACTCCGACCCACTCATTTGACCGTTTTTAAGGTCATAAGCCCCAGTGGGAAGTTGAGTCCACTCAATCCTCTCGCCGCCAGTGCCCGAGAATCATGGCTGTGTTTGATTTCAGAAACCATGCAAGAATTTCATGAGGTGCACCTCCTTCGATCCGATGAAATGCTTTTAAATTTAATCAACTGTTTGAAGTTTGCAGGCTTACTCAGTCAAAAGAACCGATGGTGATGTCATCCTCAGCATGACCGCATCTTTGGCAAAAACCGCGGCTTTCTGACCACTACAATAAAAGCCTGTTGACCATTAAAGAGATCGATCACCCTCTCAAGTTAGCTAACCCCAACCACAAACAAAACACCAACAGTACTTGCCACAATTATCTCTGCTTTGAATTCCTCCTGTCACCATGCCGTCCTACAAACTCACCTACTTTGAGCTACAGGTTTGTGGCGATCAAATTTTCATCACGACATTCCATTCGCGTGCCATGGTTCTCATTGTCTGATTGAGTGCTTCTTTGATCTCTCTTTCCTTGCTTCCAGGGTGGTCGAGGAGAGAGTATTCGCCTCGCGTTTCATTGCGGCGGCATCCCGTTCACCGACGAGCGCCTGACTAGTGAGCAGCTCGCCAAGATCAAGGATAGCTGTCCGTTCGGTCAAGTGCCCGTCCTGACGGTCGATGACAAGACCGTGATCCCTCAAGAGGGAGCGATCTTACGTTACGTTGGCCGACTGTCTGGGACTTATTCGGACGATAGAGAGAAGGCTGTGAAGCAAGATATCATGTTGAACTTTGGCGATGGTATGTTTGAATATTCGCTGCCGTTTACCAAAATCCTTCAGTGCTCATGTGTTTCCAAGGAATCGCTCTGTACATAGACATCTACTCTATCGCGGCTACGTTTTTTGCGCAGGACCACCCGGGAAAGGAGGAGTTGAAGAAAAGGAGCGTTGATGAGCGCATCCCCAAGACTCTCGGTCATCTTGACAAGTACCTTTCCAACCAAGGGACGACCTTCAGCGCTGGAAACGATCTGAGCATCGCAGATTTCAAACTCTATGCGGCACTCATGCTTATCAAATCTGGTATGCTTCAAGGCTTATCCCTCGATATCGTCGACAAGTACACCCACGTCGCAAAACTCTACCAAGCGATCGAAAAGCATGAAAAGGTCGCTAGTTGGTACAAGAGTCGGGCTCAGTAGGCTCTTGGAATCAACGATGGGTCTTTACTTTACAGATATCGGTATTGTACCGTTACAGTATTTTTTTTGACTCAATAAACCTACGGGTTTTACCGCAATCCGTATCGGATTTTTCTTTACGATATCCCAGTTTGTGGTTTTTGTTTTATTTGCTTTCGATACGATAACTGAGATATGGGGATTTTTTTCTGTTACTGAGCAAATGGACCCATGAGCAATAACAAAGACGGAAACAACTATTTTTTTTTCCCTGTCGTCTTCAGAACAAGACTGAATCTCAACAGCCGATTTGGAATTGGATGAACATTCTGCCTCCGCAGGACGTTTGTGAGGAGCTGGCCGTGTTAATCTCACCCGCGAGTCCAATGATGGTGCCACCATGTTTGGTGCAATGACAAGAGATGAAGCTCTTGATGAGCGGTGTCGTTGAGTCTGAGAGTGATCAGTAGAATAGCCTTCAGTATTTTTACCGCCGGAGGGGTCATTCTGAGTGGATTTTGGAGTTTGTGAGGCCATGCTGCTTCTAGTATCTGGGATAAGGGTCCTGGGGATGCTAGCAGGGGTATGTCCCACATATAAGCAGGGGATAGCTCACCGAAGGCCTGCTGTCATCAACTTAGGTCTTTTTTATGCCTTTTGCCCCTGGTGGAGTTGGTTATTGTGTTAACCAGGGGTAAAATGGAAACCTATAACTATATCTGTATGAAGCAACCAAAAAATGGGTGCCTCAATACTATACTAGTTGCTTGGGGCTTGGTCCTTTACTAGTACCGGTATTAGTAACGGGTGATCAAGCATACATTTACTATAACAAAAGGGGCTGGTTATCGTAGAGTACAGTAAAGACCCATTGTTGTTGGAATCCACTTACCCAAACATTGTACACCAAGCAAAATCTATCATTCTCCCAGACAATCAAACCAGCTGTTCTCCATCAACAAGCAGAATTAGCTATTTGTATCAACATTATAAGAATGTGTTCGTGGATTGATCCTTGTGAAGCTCCACTGGAGCCACCAGGAAAAAAAATGTGGAACTCCTATAGAGGTGCTTTCACTTATCTCTTGCTTAACCTTACTGTATTCAAACTGTATCTAGTCTGTATCCCCACTGTTGCTAGGATATATCCTTGTATCATTATTTATCTTTATTTGTCATATGATTCCTCTGCAATTGAAGTAATTCCAAATATTTAATTTATAATTTTTCAAATTATAAGTAACATACTTGAAACCCTAAATAGATAAAAAGGTCAGATCTCAATATACATCTCCATCCATGTAAATTTATTACACAATGAAAAATCAAAATAATCTCAAAAATAAATGGATTGAATCCCTATCCTAATAACATATTATTTGATTCAGGTTATTTATGACATTGCTGAGTATGAATTCTAATGAGAATATAAATATGTATTCTCCTTCACAAATCAATTCATTTTTATTGAAAAATTTATTCTTATTTGACTCCTGTTTTATGAAGATTCATACTCTTTTCTCCCTTGTGCTTGCTGTTCCAATCTCAGTTATTTAAACCCCTAGGTGTATGTGTATATTTAATTTTATAGATTTTGAATTATCTTTATGAGGATGAGAGAATTCAAATTGTTATATCTGGGAGACCCTTAATGATGTTCAATTTTGACATAATGGTATTACCAATAACTTGCACTTTTCACACATAGTTATGATAATTCATGAAGGTAAATTTTATTCAAAAATAAAAACAGTCCTCATATTATTGGCTTTATTGATGAAGATATATGATTCTGTCATAATTTTTATCTTAATTTTATTATGGATTACTTCTCCCTTCCAAACAACATCACAATAAGCCAGGTTTTTTCTCAATCTAAATTATCATTCACAGGCAAATGAAAAATACCATAAGACATGAGTGCTTGATCCCTTCTCAAGGCTCATCTTGTATACTTCTAGAATTTGAAAACAACAAAGCTGTGTTGTGTTGGTCCAGCATATTTGATAATACTCAAAAATCTAAACCACTCAAATCAGTAACAATTTTATTCTAATTAAAACAAAGAAGAAAAAAAAATTCATCTACCATCCCCAGCAATAGGTAAGTATACTGAACTCAATAGCCCAATTTAATGAAATTAGATTTTGTTCCATTTCCTCTGTAAAATTGTTTGTTTTCATACTTGGTTTTTTCCAAGCCTTGTTCTGAAACCTGAATTTTGAGGCTCATTATGTTTCTTCTTCCAATTAATAATGTAGATTATTCTCAGGAGTAGGCTGAGGCATGGAGTGTGTCATCAGCATTCCAGAAAGAAATTATATGTTTTACTTCAAATATGTCAAGGGTTTCCTCTCATACATATTTCTCACTTCCTGCTCATCACCACTGGGTAATGAAGTATGACTGTAAATATAAATTTTCCAACTTTGAAAGCCTCAGGATTTTTGCCTAAAATCCCTGGCCCCTTTAATTGATTCTTTGGAAATTTTTACATTTTGAGGAGAAACATTTCTAGGAAATGAAAAAAAACTTGTGCTATGATCTCAGAAAAACTCATGAGTTTAACTCTCTTCCAGTTGCAAAAAGTGGGCAAGGAGTTTTGATTTTCATACTGTGATTTAAGCAATCATTTGTCCAATTCATTATTTTTGAACAATTTCTGAGTTCAAGTTTGCTTGACAGTATTTCACAGGCATTCGAGTAATTATTTTATTGGGATCTGATACACCATCTCATGATTAGCTCCTTGGTTTGTTTTGTTTTTCAAAAACCAGTGATTATGTGAATTTAATTCAGAATGATTGGTATTGATAGCTATCACTGGTTAATTGGGATGCACAAGGGGGAAATAAATCAATATCAATTATAAAACTTTGATATGATCCAAACCCTGATTCCTGTAATAGGTGTTTCCTATCCTTTGGTCAATACAAGATAAAGCTTAGAATAAATCTCTCTTAAGAGTAAAACCTTTTCATTAAGGTTTTCTTTGTTTTTGTTTTTTCAAAAGCTCAAAATTTATCAGGGATGAGAATTTTAGTCATGAAACAGAGTTCAAAATTCCATTTTCTTGCTATACTTACTAATGCAACTGTACAAAATCTCTATTCGCGAGATCTGGAAGAGGAAACAGGAACTAATACTGATCTTCCATATTCAAACATCAGATCAATACGGGTTAGGTATTTTTTGGCTTAGCAAGAGGATCTGGTCTGATTAACTGCATGAAGCAATAAATCTTTATTTCTCCAAGCAGCAGATAAGGAGAATATTTCTTTCCCTCCTTTGCTTTTCCGAATACAAATGCGTTGGTCTGGAGGAGATCGGAGGCATGTTTTCAAAATTAAGACCGCAGGTCTTATTTCTGAAGTACCGGAACCATTTAATTTGTAATCGCCGGTATTCAAGCAATTAAGCCCGCCGGTCTTAATCTGTTTGGTCGGAAATGAACCATCTGCTCTCGTTGCTTGATCGCAACTGCCTTGTCAGTGCAAAAGCGATGGGATGAGGGGAATCTTTCCTTTTTTTCTGATTTAATAGACATCGAGGATCTGGTTTGAGGCAAGATAAATTGGAAATATTGGCCTTCATCTCCTGCTAGGACCAATCCATCTAATTTGTTGGGGGTGGGAGAGGGATTCTTTTTTTTCTTCCTTGACCGTTATAAAATTCAATTTTTTTTGTCAGAAGATATTCCAGGACCAGTGAAACTCATCACTCATGAATTTACAAACCACAAGACATACACAGCTTTTTTCACCAAGCAAAGTTGAAGTTTCTGCCCTTCTGCTTCTTAGCCCTTTGAAGATGCTCTCAGAAATTTTTGCTTTCTTTCTACACTACTTTGAATTATTCTATGTGTTAATTAAAATCTGAAAAACTAGTGTTAGAGTCTTTTATCCCATATTAAGAATTCCAGACATTATGGTTAATTTCAAAGCCTGACTGGGTCTACATAGATTTTGATTGATGTTGTATCAGTTTGTGTTGAAATTTCACACTCATAAATAAGTTGGTGCACAGCAATTCGCAATCAAATGAGGCAATTAATCTTGACTCAGCTCAAAAAGTTCCAAGCACCATTTGGAAACAGGCTTTTGCTGTTTTGATTAGGAGAAGTGATGTGATTTTTTGACCAAGAAAGAAAACCAATTTCATGTTTCAGATGATTAATATTTTGATAGAAATTGAGTGTTTGAATGGATTGTTTTTGAACAGATGATGGTGCCTTTTTGTTTTCAAAAGGGGATCCAAAAAATATTTCAAATAATCCATAACTATCTATCACAGATATTTCTAAATGATGTGACATTTCTATCTTTTGAGTTAAAGTTTGAGTGAAGAAAGATCACTGATTGTGAATCTTCTGGGGGTATGGCTTGTAGTTGTTTTTGAGATAAATTAGCATACAAATGTCTGGATTTTCAATCTTACACAATTGTACGAGATCTAATTGTTTTCATCAAGTCATGATTCTGGACTGGTAATTTCAAGTCTTTGAGTTAGGGTTATTAGGAAAGGGAAAGATTTAGTATGTCAAATTTCATAAAAAAGGCTACTGTAATCACTCAATATTT